CATTTAATCAATTATATTCAAAATATGCATCCATTCATCTTTAAAGCATGCATTCATTTATCTTCAAAAGCTACAATCAATCATCTTCAAAACATGTATTCATCCAACTTTGAAACATATATTTATTCATTCGTCCGCAAAACATGCATTATTAAAAGATTAAAATATTACAGTATCTTACAGAAACACTATTTCTACGCGCACTCCTTGGTGTCCGATCGGAATCGGCGTACGTGACATCAACGATATACTATGTTTGTACCAGGTTATCGTAACATCTCCGGTAGTATTTTCATATTGCAAATTTTAGAAAAGCTGGGTGAGCCTATAGCCATGCGAGTACTGGTTTAGCGGTAGTGAGATGACTCGAATGAACTGAGATATAATCTTATCGCTGAGATAATTTTATTTCTGGTAAATAACACTTTTGCAGGTTCATATAATAGAATACTACTGCGTAGCCGTTACAAATAATGCAATAAAGTACCTGCTATTGTAGCACTACTGGTTTCTAACATATTATTTATCAATTGCGTGTTTCTTTCTCTTCTTGAATTCGCAGGAAAAATACAAAACATTCTCGGTATTTCCGCCACCCTACGGTAAACTGCACGAAAAAGTGGTAATTTCCATGACACTCATTGTTTAGTAGTTTCTACTTCGCAAGCATCTCTAATTTTGCTGTTTACACTTGAAATCGTAACTCAACGGGCGGGGTCCTAAGCAACATCAGACGCCCCGGTGTTCTTCTCGTGAGGCCGATGGAGTGAATGAAAATTTTCTCGCTAAGCATTCTTCTAAATTTTGCTGTTTACAGCCTTTAAATCGTAACTCAACGGTGACGGGTCCTTAGCAACGCGCTGGTTCGTCACACGAACTGCCTGCCACGGGGATCGAGCGAAATCATCTCGTGAAGGACTCTGTTCATCGTGGAACGACCTCGGCCCAACGGTGGAACGCTATCGCCCGAGAGGCACTACAAGCCCCTTCAATTGGATGATGGGCCGCGATCAGATCAGATCCCGAGAAGGAAAGAACTCCGGGGGGAAAGGATGGCAAAAAACTCGATGTTTTTAAGATATCAATATTTTCGAGCAGAAACATCGATAAATTAACATCAACGTTTTGTTTTCTATATTTTCTTCAGGTCGATGTATTTGTCCAGAAACATTGATGTCTTCAAAAGAGTTTTTCGTGATATATATAAATTTCCAGTATCTAATTTTTTGTGGATTGCTCGCAATCAACGGCCACTGACAACTGTCACTGATGTCGATTCCCTGGCGACACGACACTGTTTACTATTCGCAACCTTCCTCCAGTGTTGTTACCTTTCTTTATTATTTTGTACAAGGACTACATAGAATATTGATTAGAAAATTAATACGACAGATTAAAGGCAGAATACATTTAAAACTAATACTGACGTTTTATGTATCACATTAGAACCAGGATATTTGATTTCGAATTTATGAATGAAAGTGAATAATTGGAAAAGTAGAGAAACACAATATCCGTTATTTTTTTATTTCTATCTTCACATTCGTTAAACAATATTATCAACTCCATATTTCTTATGTGTAATATAAAATACAACTCATTTAATTACGTACTACATTTAAAACCGGAAACATGATGGGAAAATACCATCTTTCACTTTATTTTAATCATCGATATTTTAATCATTCATGTTTATGTGAAGGTTATCATCGACATCAAACACCTATATATCGAAGAATAGATGATATCGATGTTTTGCTCAAATTTGCCATCATTACTCGTAGGCGCGCAGGGGTGACTCCTTGGGGTTTCGGCTATTACTAAGTTTTCACAATACTGTACTGTTATACAGATTTAACGCAACGGAGGAACGAAAAGCCATCCCTAAAGGTCGGCGTCCGTTACGGGATTTAAAAACTCCCGCCGTTCATCAAGAACAACCGAAAAAGTGAGTTGTAGGTAAATATGACGTATGAGTACACTTATTCCAAGGAGAGGAGTTTCTTGTTTACACAATGTATTCTTACAAGAAGATAGCATCACAAAAATTATCGAAAGGCCCCCGATAACCAAGACTTCGCTTGTAATTTGCTATTTATCGACCTAATGATGTTAATAAAAAATAAATTATTACAGTTTATTTCCATGTAAGTACTTTTCTTCTGGAAACAAAAAATTGCGATGGCAGAAGTTAATTTTCAGCTCAAGCGTCTCGTTCCCTCTCTTCCTGCATGGACCCGCGGGCAAGGGGTTGTCGCCTCCCTTCATCTGGTCTCCTGAGAAAAGGCCCCATGTGAGACTACTTTTCCCACGCTCGACGCATGCGTGTTCTGCTTAAACAGGGATTTCTGATACTGCCTGCTCGCACGGAAGACATCGATTTCCAGTTCCCGTCAACGAAAATGTCTAGTTTTTCAAATATCGCTAATATCGCGTTTTTTTAATTTTATTTTTATTTATTTATCTTTAACTTTGACTCATCTTTCAAATATTTATAGTTAAAATGATGGAAGGGATTCTGGAACTCAAGAAAACGTGCGCAGATTATCTTCTCCCTCATACGTCACATACAGTTTTTACTGTTTTCTGACTAAATAAATCTAAATCAATCATCACCTTTTTATAACCATTAAAACAGATATATAAAGCATTTTTTTTAAATATTGCAACTTTTATTTCAATTACACCGTCATCGTGTAATTTTTGGTTGCTCACTGTTGAGAATTGTCACTTTATGCCACTTTCAAAAGTTTCTCAACACTTCTCGGTCTCCATGCAACACGGCGGTGAGCGCCTGACCTGGCTTTTCAAACGAAGCATCCCTCTTGTGCTCGAAGTATAATAAAGTTGAGTATAAGACAAGGAAGGGGAAGGAAAGATCGCGCACGGTCTGCGGCCCATTTGCTAGGATACTTCTCCGGCAGTCGCCTGATATTGATCCGAGAAACAGTAGAAAACTACCGATGAGAGCAGCCGGCCGCTAGAATTCTCCCCCAGACAGCGGCTGAATTCGACTAGCTGTCTCCCCTGAGTGTCAAATGCACCACCAGACGCCCTGGCAGAGGCGAGAGCTGCTGCTCCGAAGCGGGGCCTCGAAGGAGCGCCGGTGGGCGATGTGACGCCGACGGGGCGCCCCACGGCCTGAGGAGAAGGAGCGCGAGCGGAGGAGGGGGGACGCAACCTAGGGCTAATTTGCGTCATCGGGAGCTCCGCACTGCCCACGCGCGCGCGGCTTCTCGCGCCGCTTCGGGACATCGAACAGACACAATTCACGAACGAACCTCTCACACCATTCTTATACATGGCGATTGACTTAGCTGATTAGCCGAGAGTTTACTATATGTGAACAAACACTCTCGATAAGTGTGTAAGTTCGGAAAGTCAGTATTCAAAGTTTCACAGAATGAGTGCATAGTAAAATCAGATAGAGTCGACTTTGGGCTTTCTTACACTGAAAAAGGGGCTTTGAAGTACGTATTTGTCATACACGAAAAATTATTGAAACTGACTTCGGCCCTACTTGCACCAAGCCACAGATATATAAGTGAGTATTTATATTATATAATATATATATATATATATAATATTAATATATATCCCCGCCGTTCAAACGTGCACACCCGGAGGAATGACCAAAGACGTCGCGCGTGGAGGGGGCGGGGGCGGGGCGTGGGGCGGGGCGTTGGGGCGGGGTGTTGCAAGGCGCGGTGACCCGCTTTCCGGCCGCCGCGCGCGCCGAGCGCCGAAGGCAGAGTCGGCGGCGGCGGCGCGCCGAGCGGCGCTGGGGCTCCGGGCGCGCACCCGCGCCGGCCAAGGAGGCGGTTCACGGGGAGTATTCAGTGTTCGCGGGCGCGGCGACGCCAAAACGTCATACGCCCCGTGAATGGAGAACACTTTTTTTATCGTGGGAGATCCATCTTTCCACGATGGATGTTTAAATCCGACACCGTCCTACACGTCGGTTTGCGGAGATTTCGTCAACCAGGTATTTCCCATCAGCGGGGCACCGCCCCAGCAGAGACACCTGACTGTCTCCGGGCAGGTGTGCTAGTGTAGTGCCATGTATGTATAAGTTTGTATAAGTAAAGGGTGAGGCAAGAACAAGGAGATGAAGGAAAGATAGCGTGCATCCGTAACCATTTGTTAGAGTATTGCTCGGTATTCGCCTAGTGTTGATCGGAAAAGACACGGAAAACTACCGATCAGAGCAACTGGTCGCTAAAATTCTCCCTAGTCGGTGGCTGACTCGACCGAGCTATGTACTAGAGTCAAAAATCCTGCACCCGTCGCAACTCAAACTCCGGGATCTCCAGCGAAGGAGACTGGGAGCATAAGTTGATGCCCTGAGCCCCTAAGCCGGCAAGTCGGCTTGCGGTGGATTTCTATCTGACAGGTATCTCGCAAGGCGGTAATGCCGCTTCGGGCTAGCTCAGATCTCTCCATCCTGGTATTCACAAGTGTTGTAGTTTAGAACGTGTCAGTGGGGTGGCCACCATCTGCAATGTTTTCTATTGTCTCTCTTTTCCTCAGCTGAGTCGCTAAAATCTGCTGGCAGAAAAACGCGTCCATTTTATATCCTAGAGACCTGATTCTTATGTAACTACAGTTGTTTATTTCTATGTTGTTTCTCAAAATTGTTCTTTTAGCGAATCGGGATAATCCTAGCACAAATATGCAAATTTATATATTGCACAAATTTGCAACAAATTATATTACTCTACCAATTTTGAAAGTTAATTTCGCAAATGTTTGTTTCTCACAAGCAGCAACTTTTCGTCTGCCATTCTGCGCCGATCCGCAGTCTGAGCAATTCTCCCTGAGGGTGGTCAAATAATGGCGTCCGAAACGTTTCCACATGTGCCAAAAGACGCGGCATCTCCCGGCGGACCAAGTAGTTACTTAAGTCCGGCCACCGAAGCCTCGGCTCTCATCATTTGCACTATGCTGTATTGCACTTCATTGCTGCTGTGTACAACTTAAGTGTTTCCTCGCTCGTTCAGGTGACCGCATCGAGGCCGTGCGCATCAGCTTCCGGCACATGGTGTTCGAAGACGCACTCACCATCCTGAGCTACGCGTCGCCCTACGAGGTGCAGCTGGAGCTGGGCAGCGCCACGCCCGCCCCGTCCGCCGCCGCTGCGCGCGGCCGCCGGCGCCCCCCGGCGCCGCCCCTGGCGCGGGCTCCCTGCTGAGGCCTCGACCGCGGGGCCGCCGCCGCCGCCACCGCCGCGGCGGCGCCACCGAGCGCATCGTGCACCCGCTCTTCCGCTCGCACTCCTCAGCCGACCTCGCTCAGGTGCGCACGCTGCTCTGGAATCTCCTGAATTTGTGATATCTTATTTTCTCCTCTTGCACTCCTCAGCCGACCTCCCTCAGGTGCACAGGCTGCTCTCTAATCTCCTGAATTAGTGATATCTTATTTTCTCCCCCTTGCAATCCTCCGCCGTCCTCGCTCAAGTGCGTAGGAAAAACTGTTTCCTGCATGCAGCTCCCTAATCTCCTAGATTAGAGATCTCTTATTCTCCCCCCTTGCACTCCGCTGACCTCGCTCAGGTGTGTGCGCACACTTCTTCCCACCGGCTGCCCTTTTATCTCCTAAATTAAAGACCTCCGAATTTCACCCCTTGCACTCCTCCGTCGACCTTGCTTAGGTGCGTTGGCAAACTTCTTTCTGCTCTCTAATCTCCTGAATGTGTTATCCCTTATTGTCTTTCCCTTGCGCTTCTCCGGCGACCTTGCACAGCCTCGTACTCTATCTTCTTCCTACTGGATTCTCTCTAATGTTCGGGATTAGTGAATTATTTTTTCTTGCACTTGCACTCTTTCGCCGACCTCGCACAGGTGGGAACGCAAACTTCTGCAGGCTGCTCTCTAACCTCTTGAATTAGTTTCTCTCCCTTGCACTCCTCCGACGATCTGGGTACTCCTCCGAGGTGCGTGCACACACTTCTTCCTAGTGCCTGCTCTCTTAATCTCCTAGATTAGTGATCCCTCATGTTCTTCTATTGCACTAGTCATCTGACCTTGCACAGGTGCGTGCGCTAACTTCGTCCTGCAGGTCCTGTCCTCTTTAACCTCCTGAATTTTTAATCCCGTATTTTCTTCCGCTTGCACTTGTTCATCCAAATAGATCGACTACGTTTTTCAATTAATTTTAGTATTGACATAATTGTAACTAATTTATTTTCAAAACATTTTTAGTACCTGTAGAACGAACATTATTTTCTACAACTATTTGAAATTGAAGAAGCACAAGGAAAGACTAATCAGCTTGGTTTCCAGATTTAAGTAATGCATTTACCATTAAAAGATAAACTGAGTCTCCGTGAAAAACATGTTTTCTTACAGAATCTCTTTTCTTTCCTGAAGTTAGTAATTGCCATTCGCATACCAAGCGGGTTACATGTGTATCCCAATCTCACTGTTTTACTGTTATTTACGTTCCGATTATTTTGTGATATCGTAATTTCATTACATTCTCCGATATACTTCCGTTGACAATTACGGCTTAAAGATAGTAATCTCACTGTTTTGCTTGATGTGTAAGTTCCTCTGTGTTCTAATATTGTAATTAAGGTGTTTAACGGTTTCTATTTAAAAACAAGCACTTGATATTCCACGTCACCAATTTTTATTTGTTATTAATTATTAGAAACACGAAGAGAAAGAGAAGAACACGATGCAGTAATTGTTCGTCATTTACGTGTAATGAACATTCAGATACAAAAAAATAAAAATATGCATCACTTGCCTAAAACCGTGAAAGAACTATTTTGATGAGGTGTATTGGTGTAATAAAAGAGAAACGAAGGAATAAAGTAACTTATTTCTATTAAATTTGTCTTTCATTATCAGCTGCTCAAAATCATCAAAACGTTCATATTCTAGTTATTTCATATTTTAAAGAAATCTCGCATAATATTCGAGTGGGGTACATGTGAACCGGCCTGATATTCAGCGATACATTTAGAGTTTGGTATGCGGAGGGAAGTGGCTTTCTTTTTAAAGAACAGTTTTCATAGGAGAACATTTTCTTTGTGCCTTCATAGATATCTTCGATTTATTTGATATACTAAAATCGGATCCAGTGGTTACTTCAAAGAGAAAGGGCCCTTCGACACTTGTCCGATACCATAAAATGATATTAAGAATATTATTTTATATCTGGAAGATTTGCCTTTAAAGTATATTTTATTACATCGGAGCACATATTTTGTTAACAATTCTTGCCAAAAACGATCATTGCTTTCTGTATTCAGTTTTCAGCTTGTATACGGTTTAGGTTAGGGAACCTTCAGTGCACAGAATGCACTTCTCGTAGCACGTCTCACACGGTTTTAACTGTTTTGACGTAAATTAAAATTTAAAAAATATATTAAATTTTCATTTCCTTAAAAACTTGTATTTTTTTTAGAAAATGGTACAGGTTATTTGCGACTCTAATGGAACATTTTTACTAATATAGAATTTCTACAAGACGTCCGGCTTATGGATAAATTATAATGGTCACTTGATTACAAAACGTTACAGACGCTCAGAAAATGTCATTTTACGAAATTTCAAAACTAAGAACGAAAATTTCATTTGTGCGAATTTAAGCGTGAAGGCAGAACTTAAAACTTTAGCATGTATCTCTTAACATTTTATACTTCTTGGTCATATGTAATCTTTAAATTAAATCACCTGATGGAAACTGATGATATAGCCTTATCCGATCTTCGTGTAGTCTTTCTTTATTGTTTTTCTCAGTGAATCAAAACTTAAGAATAAAACGTGAAAAATACTAGATAAGAAACTGGAAAGATAAATACATGACATGAAAATTAGACAAATGAATAAATACAATTTATTACTTTCAAGTTACGATCTAAACAATTTGTGTTTTTTTTTCTTTGAGAGACATTCAGGTTTCAAAACTCTTTCTAATTAAAATTCATTATAATATATTTATTGCTCATTCACATTTAATATTCAACGGTGCCGAAATGGCAACTGTGAAAAAATGTTTGAACCTTTAGTGAACATTTTATTCAAACTTTTAATCTTAACTGTTTTATTATTTCAGATCAACAAGGCCAGCTTGAGACGTGTGCAGCAAATGAATGTTCTCGGTAACACCAAGAACTCACAGTCACAAGCCACTGATGAGCCAGCCACAAACGAGTATCCCACTCTCAAACTTTCCTCCTCTCCCACCCACCCTCCCAGGGAAAACATTCGTCTGGAAAAGACGGCCCCCACGGCGGTGGTGAAACCCGAAAGAGTGAAGCGAGCGAGCACTCCGAAGGAACCTGATTCGTCTCCGAGCGGAGACGCGGGGGCGCTTAACAAGCTGCAAAAATTCGGAGTTCGCGTGCTGCCTGACCCCGCTCCCCGACAGAACGCGACGATCGAAGCCGAGAAACACCAGAACGAACAGAACTTGATCAAAGAAAGGGTTTCAACAAACCCATTCACAGATTCTCAGGGGCATGACACTGTCGACGTAGAAATGCCAAGCGATGCATCACTCCATTACGACGAAAGGGGAATTGATGTAGGTCCAGTAGAAATGCTTAACAGTTCCTCTCAGGATCAGAAATCACAGCAGATCGAAAGACACTATCAGAGAAATGTATCTCATGATGACGAAGAGTGGCACAAAGAAAATAATGTGAAACATTTGTTAACAAAGGGGTTACAGAATCTCAAAGAGAAACTGCATCATGATAAAAGAAGTTCCGGTTCCCCTGAGTCGCCACAAAGGATGAAAGATAAGAAACAAAAACCAGCGCGTCAGCATAAAACCTCCATGTCGTCAGACAGCGAAGGCTTAGATGGGGAGAGGCCCCACGAAGGAGTCATGAAATCAAAAATTAGCACCAGAGAAGAGCCAGAGAAAATAGAAAGGAAACGTCAAAATAATCCCAAAAACGAGGTTCTCAGCGAGCCTATGCTGCTGCCCCCAGGTTCCGGAATTCCATCGGAAATACCAGAAGAAGTGCAGAGAGCGGCCGCAGCGGCGCGCAACAACAGAAAGTCTCTGCAGTCAGCGGCGCACGCGCCCCTGGCGCCAGCCCCCGAAACCAGAGACAAGCTCGAAGCGGCTGCGAGCACGGCGCTTGCCAGAGAGAACATCAGCGACAGCTCGAGCGACGAAGGCGGACACGATGCCTCCACGGATAGTTCGGGCCGCCAGCCCAAGAGGTCGAACAAACGCAAGGCCCCCCTCCCACCCGCAGAAGATGCGGAGAACGCCCTCCTCAATTGCACCCAGGTCGCAAGCAAGCGTGGAGCTGATCAAGACGCACCCACGGAGAATACAACCGAACAAGACGCGACTGCACAGTCATGGAACGTAGGTAAAACTGAAAATGTTCAAAGTAAATCACCTGGAGAAAACGGAACTACTGCCAACTCACTCGCAAATTTAGCTCGGCAAAGGAATAATCTTGAATTATCGAGTAAAGATATCACAAATATTACGATTGATGATAGGAATTCCAATTTATGCTCGTTAACATCGAGAAGAAGTGTCGAAAACGACAACGGAGGGCAGGTAAATTCCTTTCCTGTCGATAGCAGCTCTAGTGGAACCTCAACAATGGAAACAAAAACAGTAGATTACGATGACGGCATTCATGTAAGTACTGTCAATTCAGATTCCGATTCCGATTTAGAAAGATTGGAGGGCGATGAAGAAGAATACGACAGAAAGAGAGGAAAGAAAGGAGGAACAACAATCGAACTAAATTCATCGCACATTACAATCCATCACAGCCCTTCTTCAGACACAATGCAGATGGCAGCCGAATTGGAAAGTGACAGCACCCGGAAAGCAGCTTCCCTAGGCGATTTGTCTCGATTGGATTCCGAGCAGCCCATGAGCATACTGGAGAGAGCGGTGTCCCTCGACCTGGGCGACGGGGGGACTCCACACAGCAGCAAGAAGCGGAAAGCACCGCTGCCACCCCCGGGAGAGGAATACCACAATGCCATCCAAGACACGGACGAGGGAGGGCACTACAGGAAAGAGCCCAGGCTGGACAACGCGATGGACACGTTCCAGAGGCGCAGGTTAAAAAAGTCTTCAGACTGGGGCACCCTGGAGGAAGCTTTGAAACAAACTGACAATTCCGTCATCCCACTAAAAACCTCCAATACAGAAACAGCGAGAATGGAAGTTGATTTGCCGAAACAAAAGGACGGTTTACTAATACATGATGGATTGGAGGCAGAAATTCCTAATCTGGCTGATGACCAGAAAGTTAAACTCTCTGGCCTTTCTCAGAAATTTTCTGCCATTGTGAGAGCAGAAGCCATCAACCTGTCAGGTATAGAACCTCTTGAGAGTTCTAAAAATCAAGGGAACAAATCAGACAATGCGGAGCAGTCGGGGAGATCAAGTCCGGAATGCGATCACACTGTTGTGGAGCAAGAGGACGCTGAAGCTGAACCTGTCATAGCAGAAAACCAACTTCAGAAGAAAACCGTACTTCACATATCTCCTGAACCCACAAAGAAATCTCTTGAGATGAAATCAAGGGTCGAAGAGCCGTCAGTGTCGCCGTCACAAGTAACAATTGCTTCTTCGTCCTTACTTGCTCTGCGACGGGCAGTAAGTGAGCCTGCTGGACATGAAGTTATTTTGAGTACCGCACCTCAACAAATTCTTCCTGCAATTACTCCTCGAATAAGGACAGGGAACATCATCAGTTCTACCCCTCTTCCAAATCGTGAAAGGACACAGATCTCTCACATCAGTCCGAATAATAACAGTTCTATAATAGAACACAGCTACATGCGTGATTCACTCCAGTCTCCGCTCGTAACATCCAGTGATGCAGGTGTAAGTAACATTAATGTGGTCAGTTCCACATCTCAAGATCCTTCCACTTCTCCAGAAGTTGATTCGAGCTTGGTCAGCTCAGCAACAGATCATTTCGTAACAGCTGCCAGCTTTGTAGATTCTACATCAGCTCCACAGGAAATGAGTGATAATGAAGATATATGGGAAAATGACCTTCAGCCTCCAGAACTCCCAACATCACCCGTTCCAATTCTTGCTCAAGCATCAACCACATCTTTTTCCGCCTCTCCTTCAATGACGTACATCACAGAAATCCAAGTCGTCACTACAACTGACAGTGACAGTGATCAGACTATTGGCTCCTCTAACATGGACATGGCACATAATGGTGCTCCTACCACAAGTTCATTTACCTCAAAAGGAATAAAGAATAAGCCTGACACAACTTTACAATCTGACTCAACCAATACTGTGGGTGAGGGAGTAATTAACGACCACGAGTCTAACACATTGAAAGCTGACGATAACATACTAGCTCAACTACCCAGAAGCAGTGTTACCGTCACGTCTATTAGGACGTCGGAATCAGCCAGCGGGCAGAGCGGAGGAACAGTTACTGAAACAACGAACAATCACGTGCCTGAAAAAAGGCCCAAATCCGCCCGCCCTCCGGTGCCTCCACGAAAATCAGACCCTTCGTCATCTCCTCCTGCCATGTCCTCCTCAACCATCATGGTGGAAGTCCCCAAAATCCGACTGGCCGAAACCGCCTCCAGTAGTTTACTGGCAGGTGGGTCAGTCAGCCAAATCAGCCCAGCGACGGCCGGGAAATTCATCAGTTTCTCATCTCTTTCACCGCGCACTGACGGCGCTTCTACACGCCACGGCAGCAGCTTTGAGCAATGGGTCTTCCTGGACGACTCGGCTTCCGACGGACATCAAAATGGCTTCGAAACTTCCATCACCGACACTGAAAACGGACAGCACGCAAGTGTTATGAACCTACCTGGTCTCACGGCCAACAGATCACAGACTGTCACACACATCATTCTTGATACGAAACAAAACAGTGGGGGACAAGTACAAGAATGAAGTTAGATTTCTTGTTATAATGGAATTCTTATTTTATCAGTAGATGTACTGAAACCACTGCATCGTAAATGAGCTTTGAATAAGACAAAAAATTACATTGTATTCCACTGCAGATGTTCTCCAATGTATGTGACGATCAGTAACACTGAGTACAAAAACCACATGCTGGTTTCTGCAAAGGTGCAAATTAATGTATTGCTTCAGAAGCAATAAATTCTGCTCATATTTGCAATGAATTCATTAGGGATTCAATTCAGAAGTAACAAAAGGTACTGAAAATGCAAGAATTTGATCATTTCTTGGAATTAGCATGACATTGGTTGAACCTGAGGGTATGTTTAAGAGAGTACTGTTATACTAGTCCTTCTCAAAATACATTATGCAAGTACATTGTCATGCTTCGGGTACGACAAATGATTGCGGTCGATTCTGCAGGAATAAGGTTTAAGCAAAGTGTAGGTGCTAAATGTATCCACAAAAAGTTGCCTGATAAGCAACTTGGTTGAACTAGGGTGCAATCATTTTTAAAACAATTCTTGTAACTACATTGTGCCACAAAATGTTGTTCTCGAGGTTCAAGTTTGAATATTTTCACCCTTGTGATATTGAGGAACAGCCAATGGAAATTATAGAACATAATGTTAATAGATATGTTATGTATACATTGTTTGAATGTGTAGACTTCCATTGTTAGCTCATATAAGTTTATATTTTATTAACATCACATTCTTCAAACGGAGAGTGTTTACTACCAAGGAATGCAGTAGAATTGATTAGAATTTCAATGGTATTATAGCCTGGATTCAAGATCTGTAAATATTTCATCATTAGATGTAGTCTGGCATTTCATATAGTACTGCAAGTCAAGAACGTTTGCAACAGATTGCAAGTGCCATTTAAGAAACATCGGGTTTTATAGATTGAAAGAATGATGTCATTCACGTTCATTTTACTATCAACGAATGAATCATCACTTACAAAAGGAGAGAAACAATACCTAATGCATTCTTTGAAACATGTATTATTGTTGCTCAAGGTTAATTATGCTTGATATAAGAAAAATAATCTTTAATTTCCTCTTGTAGAGAGGCAAGTCAAAAATCTTCATTGCCACAAATCATTTAGCAAAATAATTGTTTCACTTTTATATTCTCTTCACATTCATGGTGAAATATTCTATTCTATTTTTAAATGTTGCTAGAAACTTCTCTTGCAAACCCATCTCTTCTATTAATTCATTCCAAATAAAACGTAATTACTGGTTCAAATGATTTCAAATATATGAATTAGAGCAATTGTCACACAAAATATTCTATTTAATTAAGGTTTGTTTAAGTAAGAATATTTTTACATCATATTCTTATAATAATCACTGAAATGTTTTATTAATGAAATGGTCAACACCACGAGAAATATTCAAATATTTTGTACATAGGAACTATATCTTCAGTATAATAATGTGTACTATTTTTTCAGGTTTTAGTATTTCATAAAACATTTTGTAATTATAAGAAATGTTCTGAATTCTATCATTAATAGAAATGTTCATGTTCTTTAAAACCAAACACCAAGGTGTATATAGACCTTAAAACTCCTTCCATTGCAATTATATACATTATTCATCAACAACATGTAATCATATTGAGATTTAATATGAAAAAGCAAAGTATTTTCTCGTTTGGTTCTGCTACCTGGCAACGGGAAATGTACTAAAATGTGAAGACTGCTTTGCTATTCCATTCTATTAACATTCTTTTTTAATGTACATTCAAAAATGGGAAAGGATGCAAAGGGACAAAACAAAAGGAAGAAATTACTCAAATAACATCTCTATTTTTCTATGACTTTTACAGCAAAAATGTATAAATTAAAATTAACAATAAAAAAATACATTAAGAGAAACTTTACAAATATCATTATAACCTTCCATCACACTGGTCATATGTACAAAAATAACATAACTAAGCATTAAATAGTCATCTTTACAATACTTCAAGCAGATGATTGTTTGTAATTCTTCATTTCCAATAATTTTTTTCCACACATTGCACAAATACCTTTTTTATATGCACAGGCTTGACAATAATGTGAACCTACTTGATGTACAGTTTGGCGGCAAATACGGCATGAAGCAAATTTTGCTGTATAAGGATTGAATCTTGCTTTGTTCCCTGAAATAGCTTTGTTCTCTCCCACTTTCCTTCCTCCGCTTTCCACAGTGTTCCTAGCACCAGACTTCCAAGGATCTGGAGTTATCACACGTCCAAGTTTCTTCTCACATTTTTCGCACACCATAATGACTGAAGAAGAAATTTTTTGAGTTCAATACTTTGGAGCAGAAAGATGACAAGTTCACATATGAAAGAAAAAAAAAACCATTTATTATTTTGATGTGAGATGTGTCAAAAACAAACCTTTAAATTAATTGAAATAATTTACTCCCAGTTTTGTAATTTAGAGAAAAGGTTAAAAATTTGTGCCAGGCAGTCTCAAAAGAAAGCTATTCAAAACTCCATTATACGTTTCTCGTATAATGTATAAGGCATAAAATTCAACACTCGCTTTACAAGGCTACAAGCAAAACTATTTCCAAAAGTATAACTAGTAGTAGTACTCCAAGTAGAATACATGGAGAGAAACACAGTTCATACACGGGTGACACATTCAGGTTAATAAGAAATACAGGGCCATACGAAAAAGGATAAGTAACATTTTTCAGAACATCTCTTAACATGTGCATTGCCAATTTTACAATAATTAATTAAATGTTGGTCTTTGGCACGTAACACCTAAAGGAAAAAAATCCACACACTATGGATAATGAAATATATCAAAGTAGAAGCTACAAGAATGAGCGATAACTATGGAGTTGGAAGAGTATATATCAAATTGTTATCATGAGTACAAACCAATACTCATTTTGCTCACATATTACCAACAAATATTATGACTTAATTTATGCAAATGTTGGGAATAGGCGGCTTCACATTCACTAAAAATGTGTTCATTATTTTTAATCAGATAATTTTATAAAATACAAAATTAAAGAAAATTATAAATTATTGTAGTGTTACCTTTTATTATCAAGATGCAATCTCAGAATAAGACAATTCAATTTGAGCACGAATACTTTCCAACAGTAAACACACCTCTCATTAACACATCATACAAATTATATTAAAAACTTTACGGCACTTCAAAAATTTCATTTCGGTGCCTATTGCAAAATTTGTATCCGATGCACAACAACTCTTAATATATTCTCAGTCTCCACAATGTATATTCCACGTCCGTATGAAATGATGCAGAATGAGAGACTCGCGGAGACTCGGAGTCACTCCAGGGTAAGGACGATTCGATTCCAGAATCGATTCTTTTCTTTCAAATCCTGTGGAATCGGTATTCGATTTCTTTGCTTCTGAATCTTGATAGAATCGATAGCCAGAATCGAATAATATGAATACCTTCGGGGGGAAAATGCATATTCAAATTACATTTTTACTATTATCCCGCACGTTTTCTTGAGCTTGATGCGAGGGGTGTGGGGAGGTTAAGTATTTTATTGACAGGGCCATTCTATGAAGCTCTAGCTCGTTTTTCGAAGCAAACTATTTTCTATTAGACGAGAGCAAACACTTCTGGTTATCAGAGCTGGTGAACAAAACTTGTGGCTATCATTTATTCTAAATTCAACAAATGTTAGTAAAGAATTGGAGAGGGGGTGCCAGGGCTCAAGAAAACCTGATCGAGATAGGGGTCATTGATCCAGAAGCTGAAGTACAATACTTGTTACAGGTTCTTTAGAATGGTATATAACGGTATATAATACATATAATATAATGTTATATAATACATATAATGGTATATAATACATATAATCCAAATGATATATAATACATTAAACGTCATTGTTACAATTACTATTACTTTCCTTTTGGATGTTTGGTTTAGTCTCTAATTATACAGAAACAGTTGTGCAGCAGAAAAGATTTTACTTGAGAATTAAACTTTTGTATCGAATTTAATTGTTTAATGTCATCTGGCAAGGTGTTGTAAAATAATGTACATGTATTATATATGAATTTTTTGTAGTGAGCTGTTGATTCTGTTAACTGATTAATATAATTACTACGTTGAGTGTAGTACTTATAGACAGCAGCATTTGCTGAAAATATATTCCCGCCCTTAAGTAAGTCATTTTTGAGAAAAACCACTGAATCATATATGGAGAGACAAGGCAATAGTAAAATACCTAGATTAATAAAGAGAGGCTTACAAGAATCACGTGGGTGGGGAATCCATTTAGCTATCGTCTTTTTTTGTACTCTACCATGAAAGTATATTTCCCTCATGGGATGCATGTTCTATGCTCCAACCAACAGAGTAGAGACCTTGTTATTTTTTAGTACAGGCTTCGCGGTATGGCCCCATAGAGTAGAGATATATACATAGAGTATTATATCTCTCCTCTATGCATGGCCTGAGCCACCAAAGAATAACAATCACTTTAATCAGAGACTCCTGAAAAAAAAAACTGGTACGATAATCCAGAGAGCGCTCATATGATCCAAACACATAACAGGATCTGAATCTGGGAGTGCTAATATGGATCAAGGATTTGTTTGGCCTTCTTTATTCAAAAGACTAAGCTCTGGCTACTGCATTAATATTGCAATATCTTGCTTTATTCACTTGCGCGTCTCCAGGGCTCAAGACATGTGCATGTAATACATTAACAGAGAGCATTAGCAAAATTTTAAATTACAGTTTTATAAAAAAATAATTTAAATTTTCTTTGTTTAAATAATATTAGTTTTAGTAAAAATGTACAGAAAGCAGCAGTATACCTTGTATTACACAATTTATCTTTTAATAATCTGAGTAGTTCACAATATGTTTTTGATGCATAACTAAAAATATAGTATATGTTGCATGTAAATATTGTATATTGTGGCTGCTTAGATATTGTTTTATATTTTGATATTTGAGTACCGTGTAATATATGTGCTTTCCGGGAACAGCCAGAGATTGCACTAAAATTGAATATCCAAGTGGTCTGATGCTGATGACCTACACTACACAGACTGTACACTTGAAAATTGCACTACCAACGAGGAACAGCTCGAGGTTGGACAGTAAAACTTTTGCGGATGTTAATTACATACGGAGCGTTACGGAGTGTTATGTTTAACATGCCTTTTTTATTGTATTAATCGAAAGATGAGAGGTTCTTCAATGTTCTGGTAGAGTTTGAATCGATTTCACGGTCCAGTTTTTGCGTAACGAGAACGTAAAATTTGCTGTTTTAACATGGGCTCTTATAGTGACCTGAGAGATCTGACTTGAAATTTTAAAATTGTAACAAAATTAACTGTTGCACATGCTTTTAAAAACATTTCATTTGGTAGCTAATTTTGCACAATTATAAGCCTAAATCAGTTCAAAGGGAGACGTTCGCGCGCATTTTAATGGATCGGGGCAGCAAGAGCGTACATTTCTCCGGATCGTCTGGAAACAATTAAAATATCATCACTCCTGGAGAACATTGCGTTTGATAGTAACCAGATATTCAGAAAACTGTAATTTGATGAATATAATGATTAGTGAATGAAAATCTTAATTCAATTAATATTCCCAATGACTCACTTTGATACTACTCCCTGAGAAAAAGGTTGATCTTGAGGGTTAATAGAATTTTTTAAACATTCAGTACGGTATTATTATTTTGTATTGTGCCGTACGTCAGTTTCTTGCTCCTGAATATTGATTATTTATTCAATTATTCGAAAAGTATTCATATTATCTTTTTTATGGAGATACACAGTGGATTGTCATTGACTTTTGCACCACAGATGCTTACTCAGAACTCAAAGCAACAATCTTTAGCAGAGATCAGCACCTCAATCGGTATTGCTACTGAAAGGGCATTCAATTCAGAGGGAAATAGACTTTGTAATGGCTTCAAATGTGTTGCAATGATACAATACTGTTTTGCTGGTGTTAATAAAATCTGTCGCCGCTCAAAGTATATTTTTTGACATTTTCTTAATTTTTCGATTTTCTAATTGAAGAGCAGAAATATTATTTTAAGATTATTAAAAACTAAAAATTGATCCTAAATGGTAATTTTCATTGAAAAATTTGGAGCCGTTTGTAAAAAACTGGCGCTTCAGCGCTACTGTAAATACGAAATTTGATGATCTTTTCCGAAAAACGTTATATGAAATCATTTCAAGCACTTCCGCAGTCACAAATGCAATAGTGTTTTCACTAGCGTTGATAAATATATATATATATATATAAATCAACGCTAGTGTAAACATTATCGACGTGGGAAACAAGTCAATAAAATTACATTTTTATAATTTTTCGAACAAAAATTAATAGAGCAATATAGCGTCTATGTCATATTATAAAGTACATTTAGAACTATCCCTACAAAAAATTTAAAGAAGAACGTTCAAGCCGTTTTTGAGAAGATCTTGTTTTCGTATTTTTTAAAATATGCACATATTGCTCGCAATATAGTCCGTCCTTTCTCCTTGTCGGAAAGTGCCGTTTGGACCTGCTGCCACCGGCTACTCTCCCTGCCACCAGCGCCGCAACCTTCCACACCTTTAGGACCTTTTCTCACGTCCTCACCGCGGCGCGCTTCCCAACGCCGCGGCTCGTTAGCCAGAGCATTGTTTGAAGCGGAGATCTTCCCACGTGGCGGCGGGCTCGAGCTGCTGCGGCGTTCGGCGCGGACCTCGCACACGAGAAGCGCAGGAGGGGCGTACGCGCCGCCGCAAGCAAACACAGCTTTAAATGATGGTATTCCCACTGCGCCGCCGGTCGTGGCGTTTTACCTGTTGCGGTCCCTTTGTTCGTTGTCGCCGAAGGGTTGGAGAAACCTATCCCTGCAGAACCCACCCCATTTCACGGAGAGCGGCGGTACGGCCGTGGCGTGCAGCGGTGACGGCGTTTGAAGAGTTTTGCCGCTTATCGGAGGGTAGGAGGTATCGCATGGTCGGAGGCGCGTAGGTGGAGATGCTACCTGGTGGTCCTTTCGACAACTGACTGCGACGCGACGTGACGGATATGACAATGTTAGCCAATAGAGGATTACACCGAAAGCTCAAAGCACTCGACGCCCTTCAATGGGCTTGAAGACGCGTTGCGTCTATACAGACGCAACTATTTTTTTTTTAATAGCGTGAATAGCGGAAGGAGCAGATAGAACGGAAGGGGCGGGATGGGCGAGAGGGAGGTGTGGGGGAAGGACGGCCGTGGCAGGCCGGATAGGACATGCGAGGAAGACGGGGCGTGCGGGGCTGTTAGACGATTACGATAAATCAATATCTGGTCGAATTTTTTAATATTCTATCACTTTATTAGTGACTTATACAGTAAGTAATAAATAATAATAATATCATACAAATTTTCAAACAGTTCTTTCACATAATTCAAGAATATATTAATTCAATTTAATAACATTTTTTGGCTTATCCCTCCTCCTCCAAAACATTGGCCTTGTTACGCCTATGATGTACAACCATAAAAATTGATTTTTTCCACATTTTTCATTTCAGAAAAAATGAGATTGCCCTAAAGTCAAAAGAATAACAGTGCACACAGTCAGTCCTAGACAGATGCATCGGCCAGATATTGGTATTTCATATAGCTTTGCTGTCATTCGCAAAGATGAAGTGTAGAGAAGAATGGTATCTAAAGTGTCACCTGGAGTATCCACATAGACAAAAGGCCGACCTCGAACTTCATGGCCTAGCTGACGAAATATTTTACAAATGCTTGTTAATCGTGCTGCCTGAAATAAAAATAATTGATTTTGAACCCAAGAGTATAATTCTCTATAAAACAGTAATTAATAGAAGGAGGTAAGGTCCAGGAAGATAACAGAGTGAAATATCATAGAGTACACAATATACAGATCAGTAGAACAAAAAACAATGACAAAGGCCACCTAAGAGCAATAAACTCTATAACAGAACAACACCAAATCAACAAAAAATTACAATATTTCAAGGAGACCCAAAAGCCAAAAACAAAAGACTGGTGGTCTAGTAAATAACAATGATGGAAAAATACTTGAACAAATAATGAATGTAATTTTAAAATAATTACAATACAACATACTACATATTATCTCAGAAATCCATGGTCATACTTGGCAAATCTTTTATATTTGATCACATACCAGAGTACATGACTACTCAACAACTACCGGCGCCTCACAATCTACCGCCAAAACCCAATACACTTAAAATTAACCTGTATAAAATCCAAAACATTAAAAGAATTGCCATTTTTAAAATTAAAATATTAAGTAGGTACTAAAATATGGAAATCGTTCATAAAATGGCATTTTAAGCCACGAATGATTACGGCATCACACATTCAGCCAATCGCAGTGAGAGAATTGCTGTAAGGTAGCGGTAAACGGAACAGCTGAGCACCGTTTTCTCGTTCAGATGTCAAATACCAGAGATATCACAAGAAAGTTGTTTCGCAAAATTGAGTTTATAATGTTGCTTTATTGCATTCGTACAAATTTGAAAACTTGCTCCTAACGTCACTCGTTTTCAAAACATTACTCATGCAATAAAGCTTAACATTACAAACTAATTGCATAAACTACTATTAACGATAATTCTTATCCAATTTTTTTCAACTCGTTTCCAACTACTTAATCCTATTAACCCCTTTCTTCGAGTAAAAGTCGTTTCATTGACAAGAGTTAGGAAAATTACATGCAAGTTTAAGAATGATTAGTTACCTACAAAGTAGCATTTTAATTTACTGAGTAACAATTGCAGTCAATGGCTTTATCATAAATCGAATGATAATTCAAATAAAATATATTATTTGTAATTGTATTTAGCAAGGGATACCTAAAAATTCAATCACACATCAATAATTAAAAAATAAAGAAATAATTGAAAAAATTGACACTTACTTGAACAAATGGGGCTATACTTAAACACACCCACAACAAAACGTTTAGTATACTTATTCCGGAAATATGTAACGTTATTGTGTCTATTGTATCTGCATTCAGCAGCCAAATTATGCCTGATGTAGCTCGAGTTATATTTACAATAGCAAAAAGACATACACTTGGTGCAAATTCATCATTTAAATATTCCAGTAATTTTTGAAAGGTGCCAATTTCCTGGAAACATAAATAAAATGTGGTATTTTCATTTAACTGAAACATATTAAGAAACAATTACAAATGTATTAAACACAAAAATAATGATTTTTGATCTCACTAATTAACCTTCACACAATTATTAGACATGTTTACGTTTTAAACTAATGAGATAATTTGTATTTGATTATTCTGCCTTTGGACAATTGTTCTGCATTGGGCAATTACGCCAATTGCCCAAAATACGGGATACACCAGAGAAGCAGTATAGGATCAGTGTTATTCATTATATATGTCAATAGTTTACTCAGAGATGTAAATAACTGTAAGGCATTCATGTATGATGATGATATAATCGTTGTACTCCAATGAAGGCTCGCATGTAAGTCAAGCAGAAGGAATTTGATGCAAATGATAGCAATATGAGAATAACTTGTATATTAACTCTTCAAAAACAAAAATAATTAATTTTAAAACACTACTGAGATATCTCATCTCACGTGCTTGTCATTGCCCATGCGCCCCGAAGCTTTCCCCGCCCCATCCCCCGTCACATTACCTACGTGCAGCTGCCAGCTGACACGAAAGCCTATAAAACTCGACTAAGGGCGACGGCGTCGCTCTTCCAAAGCCACCCTCCCACTTGCAACAAAGAGTTTTTTTAGACACCCCACCTCCGGGACTCCCGCCCTAAAAGCAAAGAACCCACTCGACATTCACCAAACCGTGACTCGCGCACTTGACACCCGCGTTGCCGTGAAAAATTGGATTATCGATTGTCTCGTAAATGCCCCCTCGCTAATATTTTTTGTACAAGGTGTAATTCTTCACCCAGCGCGCCGGTTCCCATTAGATGTCCCCCGCCCGGCCACCCATTGTCTACATTAGCTAAATAATGACAACCTATTGGAACGATCAGATTATATAGGTCACCAAAGTGGTAACTGGGCCGACAAATAGGTATTCACAACCCTATAGAATATTCTAAAAGTAGCTAAGCGAACCAATAGCGGCCTAGGGAGGGCACGTACACAGAGGGATGGTAGCACAAGGTAGAGATTAGAGAAGCAGATGTGGTCTGAAAGCCATCGAGAAAGGCTGTTTGATTTTCATCGAACAAAGACGCATTTCTTCACAAACAAACCTTCGAGTTCTGTGATTGTTTAAAATCGTAACTAGAAAGCTACAAAGTGTTCGCTTTACCGGATGCCATCCTCTCTGGAACCGGTGTATTATTTGAAACTTTTATCAAGCGAAATAACCAGGTCAGCGGAATTTATTCCGTTCTACGGACGAAAGTCACAACATTCGAAAATCACTCGTCACGGAGAGAAACCTGCCGCGACGTGCATTCCGACGCGGGTAGGGTGACATATGACGGCGTCTCCAGTGAAGAAACACATGCCTTCATCATCGGTACGAGAGCGAGGGCGCGTTCTGCGGATCCAGGGGTGCACCAGTGCGACGCGAGCCCGCACCTACCCTTCGACTTTCGACGCCGCTCCTCCTCCAGAGGCATTACCCGGCGTGCGCGATTTGAGCGCGAATCCAGGACGGCGACGAGCAGTTCTCAACAGTGAGGTAACCCAAAATTGATCACTGTAGGACTCTGTCCAGAATTAAAAGACTGCAAAGCCAGTGGACAAAGAAGAGCATAGTTCCAAAGACATTAATGGCCATGAAATAGAATAATGTCGTTTTGAAAATGTGTGCCCTTCATTCCAACGGACAACACTTAAACCATCAATTGAAATTGTTTTAATTAATAAGTTAAAGGCATGTGCATCATCCTGACTCAGAGTGACTTACCCTTTGAGATCTCTAGAGCTGGCCCAGGAGGCAGGTTGGTATCGCACTTGGCGCCCACATCTAAATAAACTTAGCCCGAGCGACCTGACGAACAGTCACGTGTTTCGACACATTGTTGGACCCCGCTAGACTCGGTACGCACAAGTCGCCGGCGTATTCCGTCGGGAGGGTTCATCATACTACATATGATTGCACATCAAGTTATAAACATATTCCTGTGAAATCTAAATAGTACATCCACTTCTCCTGACAAAATTTGTAAATGTGAAAAACTACAATTGGTAAGAGAATATAATTAAGTTGATATATTTTTCGATATTCATCTGAAATTTTACGGGCTTATTAATAAGGTTTTTGATAAAATGAATATATATATATATATATATATATATATATATATATATATATATATATATTGAAATATATACAGGCCGTTCATTAATTAACTAGTACTAAAACAGCACGTTCTTTCACGCAAAATTACGCGAAAAATACTTAAATTTTCGAAAAATTGTATATGACTTTATATTAAAAAATCTATATTTAAGGAACAGATTTCATTAAGGGGGAAAACTCGAGCTTCATAATTGTAGTTGTAGAAAGATGCCAAAAAAATTTAATTTTTGGAATTATCGAAGTATCAGAGTTTTTAACAAAAATGAAACCTGCACCATTCTCTTAAACGTCCTCTACACTATCAACAACAAATTTTAATAAAGAGCGATGGAGCATTTTTTTAAAATACGCCAAGGGGCCTCATGTTAAGTTCCCCCAAAATTAAAATATCAGTTCCAAAACAAAGGGGCCGCAACATCAGCCAAATAGATAAGAGAATATCAATTTTGGACACAATCGACTGAACGGTTCAGCCAGTAGTGTTGGTCACGAGCAGACTGACGGGCGTACAGAAAGACGTTTCGCCGTCCTTCAATTTTTCGGTATCAAGGACCCACAAAACATGGATCCTGGCTACACCACGTGTTATAGGATTTGTTTCTAAATTTAGCAAGAATTAATCTACATTTTCGTTACCAGAGCCCGCCAGTAAGAGTTTTGACGAAAATTCACCGTTTTTTACACAACAATATATAATTTTCTCTGTACTGTGTACGCGGTAGCGAGAAAGTAAAAAGGTGTTAAGAAAAAAGAAGCTAGGGTACAAAGCACTAGTTGAATCAAACACACAAACAACCTCGACCAAGAGATTGTCGTGTGGCAATGAACGCGCACGTTCTCCTCCGAAAATCGAACCTCCGAGAGGGGAGGGTATGCTTTACAGTGAAAAAGCGCGCAGTTATGTCCGATGCTGCAAGTGCTTAAGATACAAACACTTCTCATGACACTACATAGGCGCAGATAGCCATGAAACGGTGAGAAAGAGATGCTGCTACAGATGCGACGAGAACGGACACAAGTGCACTCACATCCTTCGCGTAGAAGCCAAAACGGTTTTTTTATCGGATAAAGAACTCGAGAGAGACCGGAGCACATCCCTGACGCCAAATGAAGACAAAAAACCTGCAGGCAAATTTCAAGATGAGCCGAACAGCAGACCAACTGAACCTGCTGACCATTGAGCAAGAGATCGCAGCAGTAATGATTAGATTGTATAGAACCGTATAAAAATCGAGAAGAACTGAACGGTTCTGGGTTATTTGCGAGTCGCGTAGAGGTGTGGCGCAAGTTCCGGAAGTGTCGAGACGGGCGACAAGTATAAATTCACCGCTGCCGTCGACCGCGAGTCGGTCACAAGTAAATAGTCAGTCAGCGTTAGTATGTAGTCAGCCAGTATGCAGTCTAAGTCAGTCTGAAGTGAAAGCAGGGCTGTTAAGCGTGCATTGCGGTGAACAGTCGTGCAGTATGTGAAGAGCCAATGGAGGGTCAATGGAGACCCGTGAAAGAAGCGAAGTGGGTGCGCGATATCGCCTATTAAACGTATCATTTTCACAAACCTAACTTCCTTTCTGTTCTTTGCGATACTCGCGCTGAAAACTAACACCCAAGATGCTAGAGATTGCGTCGTTGCCTTGCCCTTTTATTTGCAATATCGTTGTTAATAATGAACTGACTCATTTCAACGCGATGCAATAGCGACATTTTAAAGAGGAGTCTACAGAAAAAATGTTTGACAAAGCTGAATTCTTTGTGTGGGAGATTACTTATCCAACACAAAAACAGGAAAAAAATGAATTAAATCTAGAAAATTGCGGCGAAATGTAAAAATTCAATAATATGTAAAAACATGTTTTGGGTAAAATATATAAGTATATGTACTTTCGGGTAAAATATGTAAAAATATGTTCTAAAAAGTCAATGTTTTTGGACACTAACAGATATGAAAAGTGAAGATATCGTTGATTCGACTTGACAGAGTTACGTTAGGAATGTATGTAATTACATAATTATCCAGGCCCTAGTGATAAGTGAATAAGAGGTCTTTGGATCCAAAATTTCAGCGTTTAAGGCCCTAGAACGCATCGTTTAGGAGTCATTAAAGTATATAGATTCAGAATACTGTCCGAGTGTTGCGGGTTGCATCTGATATTGAATATTTATATGCGTTTGGTGTTAGTTCTTTTTTCCCTCTCCCAGAGACAGTACAATTTGTAACATCTCTGTGAAATTATCTCTCTTTAGATAACTTATTTATAAAGACTGATTGTGTGTGAGAGCTACAACACAGGTGTCCATACTACTGAAATAAGGAATGCATCAACAGGAACAAGAGAAATATTGTCTTGAATTAGTTTTAGAAGAGTTAATTTTTTTAAAAACATGTAAAGTATATTCCTTAAAATATATTTTATAAGATAAGGGATAGAATGTTAAAGATTTAGGAGTGAAGTTGACCTTCCTCCCTGTGCCCCCCCTCCCCCTTAGCTATGCTCATGGAAGCAAAATCATTTCTGCAAACGACATCATTAATTCAGAGAAAGATTTGGATAAAATATTTTCACATTCTCCTTATATTTCAAATATTAACCATAGTTCTAATAATAGTCAGGGATATAATGA